CATGCATGCAGTTGCTGCATAGAGTCTCAAATCCCCCAGGGCTGGCGTTAACAGGCAATTTTGAGCCACCTGACATGGTGCTGGCATTCAAACTCAGGTCCTTTTCAAGAGCAGAAAGTGCTCTTAACTGCTGAGCCATTGCTCCAGCCCCTATCTTGTATTTTGTTAATAATAACATTTTATATCTACCAGTTCTTCTTTGAGCCATTTAAGTTGCTTGACAAATGCCCTGGGAATAAGATTTTTATAAGTGTCCTTATGGAATGTCCAGGATTACAAAGGAGAAGCTAGTCACACTAGAAAGATTGCTTGGTGTGTGCGAATTTCAAACAATGCAGTTAAGTCACTTCTGCACAGGGAGCTTTAGGTTCAGTGTCACTAAAAAGCAAACATGATCTCAAAATGAAGAGTTCTTGGTTCTCTACAGTGATAATGCACTTAATACCTGCTGTGTCCCTGCAAATCGGCATTTCAGGTATTAAAGGAGTACAGGGAAGCAGCTCCATGTGTACCCCACAGCCCAGAATATTGTATTTACTAACAAGCAGCATTTTAATAAACTCACAGTAAAGATTTCACCCCAGTCACTTCCTAAATTAGTTTATAAGCTTTCAGTGTGAAATATATTGCAGCTACATTTAGAACCCCTGGTAAGGTCAAATATATTTTAAATATTCTTCCATTAATATATTTGACCCAGAAATTTCTACTATGACATCTGAAAAATTTAGAAGCACCTAAAACTCTCTTTGCCATAAAACAAACAAACAAACATAAATACAGCTGTGCCGTTAAGTTTCTCAGTGGGATTTTTTCCTCAGGCTTAACCATGGAGAATAATATTTAAGGGGGATTTTTAGTCTCCTAAGAAAAATGATTGGAGGCCAAGTGTGGTGGCACAAAATTTTAATCCCAGCACTCTGGAGGCAGAGGCAGGTGCATTTCTGTGAGTTTGAGGCCAGCCTGGTCTACATAGTGAACCCCAGGACAGCCAGGACTACATAACCCTGTCTCAAAAAAAAAAAAAAAAGCAAACAAAAGTGACTGGGACAGAGTCTGTGTATTTGTGAGTAGAGTAATACCTATGCCATCAGAGCAGAAGGAGGAACTATGTGAGTGGGGGTTGGGGACTAGCAAGTGGAGGTGGAGAATGGGGAAGGGATGTCAGGGACAGGGTGACTAAGAACAAAGGAAAACAACATATGTGTATAAATATAGCAAAAATAGTGCTGTGCCTGCTTCAGTAGCACAAATACTAAAATTCAAACAACAAATAAGATTAACATGGCCCCTGCACAAGTATGTACACAAATTCATGAAGGTGTCCATATTCTTAATATGACCATAATATATTATGTACCTACATGAAATATAATGAAACTCATCTTTATGGACAATTGATAAAGGCTAATAAAAACATTAAATTTTCCTTAAGTAACACAATTCATTAATATATTCTAGAAGCAAACATCATACAAATAATATATCCAATAACAATTTCTATAGTATATATTATAATATTTTAAATGTTACTTGGCATTTCTTAGATTAAGTATATTTGATTTGTGTTTGTTTTTTACTGTGACCTGACTTTTATTCTCACAGGCAACAATTCATGGGTCCGACGTGGGGCTAATCTGAGCTGAGCTCTATGCAAAGGCAACTCTTGTCTGGAAGAAGGCTGCAGCATCCTGAACTTGGAAGAGGCCCCATTTAAGGTCTAGCAAGGTGTATGTGCTGTACTCTGGTGCTGGAGGTTCTTGTGGGTGGTATCAGCGGGCTCAGGGGTACCAGAGTGCTCTTGGGTACACTTTCCTTCTTGGGGTTTGGTCGCATTCCCTTATCTTTATTCTCTGATCAAAGGCAGAAGGGCGCTTAAAAAAACTTGAGTGCCTGGATCACCCTCCCTGCAGCAGGAGTAGGACACCCTAGAGCAGAAGCCCTATGCTGAGGTCACACTGAGGTGCATTGTAGTTTTTTGAGACAAGGTCTCTCTCTGTAGCACAGGCTGCCACCAAACATTTTGATCCCAGCACTCAGGAAGCTGAAGCAAGATGATCTCCAATTTGTAGCTGGGTTTTTTGTTGTTGTTGTTGTTGTTGTTGTTGTTTGTCTGTTTGTTTTTCGAAACAGGGTTTCTCTGGAGCTTTGGAGGCTGTCCTGGAACTCACTCTGTAGACCAGGCTGTCCTCAAACTCACAGAGATCCACCTGCCTCTGCCTCCTGAGTACTGGGATTAAAGGCATGCACCACCACGAGTTTTTTGTTTTGTTTGTTTGTTTGTTTTAATGTGTTTTTTAAACACTAATTTATTATGTTACAGTGTACCTGTGGAGGTCAGGTGACAATGTGTGGGGATGGGTTCTCTCCAAATACTGTGTGGACCCAGGGATCAAACCCAGGTCATCATACTTGCCACCTATCACTTGCCCCATGGAGCTGCCTTCCCAGAACCTCTCTTAGTTTTTGAAGCTGAGTCTCACTTTGTAGCCCAGGACCATCTCAAATCTATAACCGTCCAGCCTCAGCCTTTTGAGTGTGGGTTTTGGGAGGCACATGCCACCACCCACAGCTTGGATCTTAGTTTCTATTTGAATCAAAGGCATACATAGTTCAAATAAAGCTGCTGGGGACAGCTGCCTACACTACAGGTCCCTCCCAGCAAATCCTGTAATTGTAACTATTTGGGGAAAAAGAGAAATTGTAGTCTTTATAGATGTGTGTTTTGTTTTGTTTTTTGATATTTTAGACAAAGCCTCACAATTTAGGGCAGCCTGTCCTTGACTTCATGATCTTCCTACCTCAGTCTCTAAGGGCTGGAATCACAGGCCTGGACCACCTTGCTTGTAACTTGATGTATTTTCCTTTTGTGTGTGTGTGTGTGTGTGTTCTTCTGTATGGGGTGTGTGTGTGTGTGTGTGTGT